TGAGCTTAACATATATTTTACCCAATTTTCTTTTGATATTCCTATTCTATGCAAAAAAAACTACGAATATTATAAAAATGCAGCAGATAAGAAATAAGATAGAATATATGAAAACACAATAAATGAAAAAACCAAAACGTAGAGGGAAATAAGAATAAGAAAAAAGTTTACATGAACCACTTACGGGGGAGCTGCAAATAGAAAAAAGCGGCGCCAAAACTATAAAATAGCAAATTAACAAGAAATTTTCAACTTTGCAGCACAATACAAGATTTACAACACAAACAAAACACTCAATTTATTTAACTAAATATAATTTTTTAACAAATAATTCCTTCTAAAGTGGATTTTTTCTTTTTAGCTTGGAACCAGTTTAAAGAGGTGTTAGCAGCAATTCTCTTTCTTTTTTCACACTTTATAGATTTTTATTTTGTATTAATAAAATAAATTACCTTCGAATATTAAGCAATTACTTTTTAAAAAGTATTTTAATTCAAATATACTTTCTTTTAGTTATAAAAAAAAAATATTCTTTTCGTTTCTCAGTCACCAATGGATTTCTTTTTCTTCTCCGTTTGCAAGACACTTTCCTTTTTTGTGTTTTTATTTTAAACGATTTCTTTGGCAATTAATTTGTTTATTTTTAGCTTTTAAATAATGTTGTCTTGATGTTTTTTAACAATTTATTAATTATAGCATTTTAATTATGAAGAATTTTATTAGAAAATCACTGTATTTATTTTAATTCTTGAGCTAAAATGCAAAGAACTACACACAACGAAAGCAAATGAACAAATCTTCCGTTCGCCTTAAAATGGTAGCAGTTTTTTGACCAATCAGCAAGCGTGTTGCAGTTAGGCAATATATGCTAGTAAATTCACCACTCATCAACAGGGTTGTATTTATAGAATTTGTTGTCAGTGTTATTAGTTTAAAGTGATTGTTGATATTAAACTAGAAGAATTTACAAACATTTCTTTTGCTAGCAGCCAATAATAAAAGAAATTTCATAATTTTTTAACTTAATTTGTGTAAAATCCTAATAAAATGGAACACGGCGAGGAGGAGGATCCAAAAGAGTACCGCTGGGAAACCGGCTATGAAAAAACTTGGTATTATTTGCTACATTTTGTTAAATGACAGAAATCTAACCTTAAATTTGTTTGTGCAATATTTTTTTGGAATCCTTAGGGAGGCCATTAAGGAAGATGATGATGGTCTTTTGGACAGTGCCATTGCGGAGCTTATACAAAAAGCGAAACGCAAACGACAACAACAAAAGACCATGCAAAATAAATTGGGTATGATGCGTCATTTGTATTTGATATTAGACTGCTCGGAATCCATGTCAGTGCCGGATTTAAAACCTACTCGTTTATTATGTACTCTCAAGGTATTTTTAACATTTAAAACAAATTAATTTAACATTCTGTTTAATAAATATTTTTTTTTACAGCTTTTGGAAATATTTATTGAGGAATTTTTTGATCAAAATCCTATTAGTCAAATGGGTTTAATAATACTGAAGAGCAAAAGAGCCGAAAAGATTACTGATTTGACCGGTACCGCCAAATTGCATCTTAAAGCCTTGGAGGGGTAATTATTTATGCAACTATTAAGTAAATAACTCTAATCGGGGATTCTTTGTTTAGATTGAAAAAAATTAATCTCACCGGTGAGCCTTCTCTACAAAATGGTTTGGATTTGGCGTTGAAGACCTTAAAAGTAGTTCCTTCTCATGCCTCCAGGGAAGTTCTAATTATTATGGGTTCTTTAACCACCTGTGATCCCATAGATATTACCCAAACCATAGACACTCTCAAACAGGAGGGCATTAGATGTTCCGTCATATCGTTATCGGCTGAAATTCATGTTTGCCGCTATTTAACCACGCAAACGAATGGCACTTATGGTGCTGTACTAGATGACAGCCATTATCGTGATCAACTTTTGTCTCATGTCGATCCGCCACCAGCTGCCCAAGTACAAGAGAATTCTCTTATAAAAATGGGTTTCCCTCATGCCAAACAGGATGAGGGCAAGGATCCTCCCCTTTCAATGTGCATGTGCCACATAGAAAATACCGAAGAGCCCAGTAAACTTACCTCGGTGGGTTTTCATTGTCCTCAATGTTTTAGTAAATACTGTGAATTGCCTGTCGAGTGTCAGACTTGTGGTCTCACCTTAGTCTCGGCTCCGCATTTGGCTCGTTCTTACCATCATCTCTTTCCGGTGCAGCATTTTACCGAGCTGATGTATAATGGCCAGGCTGCTGTTTGTTATGCCTGCCAAAAGCCTTTAACGGAAGCGTCTGATAAAAATGTCTATCGTTGTGAGTCCTGTTCGCAAATCTATTGCATTGATTGCGATATTTTCATACATGAGACATTGCACATATGTGTGGGCTGTAATACTATACCGGGAATAGCTGCTCAGGTGCATGCTAGAAAACCACAAGCTCCACCTCCGGGTATGATGATGGTTGGATCATCTTTGGGTCAACGTTTTTAAACGAGTTTTTTTTTTTATAAAATAAACAAAAAGGTAATAAAAGACATTAGTTGTAATCGAAATAATAATATGGAAACGGGTTAAAAAAATAAGCAATTTTTGTTATTCAATAAAAATTTCTTACATCGACAATTTTCTATAAAAATATAAAATTTTTTATAAAAAAACAAGTTTTCAAAAATTTCTGTAAAATAGAAATTTTCCGAAATTTTTCTATAAAAATATTCGAACTTATTGAAAATTTTCTATAAAAAAAGAAATCTTTCGAAAATTTTCTGCAAAAAAATTAGAAATTTTTGAAAAATTTCTATTAAGATAAACATTTTGTATAAAAATATAAAATTTCCGAAAGTTTTCAATAAAAAAAAAAATTCAAAAATTTTCTTTAAAAATAGAAATTTTCAGAAAACTTTCTATTAAAAAATATAAATTTCTCAAAAATTTTAAATTTTAAATTAATTTTTTAAAAATATAAATTTTTCAAAAATTTTCTATAAAAATAGAAATTTTCGGAAAGCTTTCAATAAAAACGGAAATTTTCCGAAAGTTTTCAACAAAACAGAAATTTTCGGAAAATTTTCTGTATAAAAAATAGAAGTTTTCCGAAAGTTTTTAATAAAACGGAAATTTTCCGAAAATTTTCAATAAAAACAGAAATTTTCAGAAAATTTTCCATAGAAATGAGAAATTTTTGAAAGAAACATTTTTCCACTAGACTACAAACTAGACTACAGACTAGACTTTAGACTTAACTGGAAACTAGACTATAGACAAGACCGTAGAATAGCTTATAGAGCGGACTATACTCTAGACTTGACCACAGATTAGACGACAGACTAGATTATAGTCTAGCCCATGCTCTAGTAGGATAGTCTATAACTAAGTCTAGTCTAGAGTCTTAAATATACTCGGGTAGGTCTATTGTCTCGACTGCAGTATACTCTACAGTGGCGATCATAGTTTAACCTATTGCCTAGCTTATAGTTCTACAGTTATACTTTTATCTTGTGTATAGTTTGGTAAAAAACAAGAATTTCGAAAAATCTCTTCTATTTATTTGAGCAATTCTTTATCGAATATATTACTCATCATTTATTGTATCACTTTCGTCAAAAATCAAGTACATTTACTAATCATAATTAAACACTTTAATTTGCATTCGAAACACAATCGTTATGACCGGCGGAAAGGGGGTTTTAAAGAGAATAATATACACAGGTTAACAACAAAGTATAACGACTGAAAGCTTTTTTTCCATAAATGGTTTACTTATTTTAGTAAAAATTTGCTCATTTTAATAGTAAAGACGGGTAGTCATCTTGACGCGATGCGAAGGCTTATGTGTGATGACCCATGCAGGCCGTGCTGGTAGGGCTACCCATGCCAGAGGGGCTCATGACGAGCACATACTAAGAACTACCCTTCCCACGACTGGTAGCGTCTGTTTCTCCCCGATGGGGCGGCTACCAGTCCAAGTACTTGTCAAAAGATCTCTACTCATCCTTCGGATGTGTATCTTTTGACAGTACAGTCCGTTCGGGATCCTTAGATCCCTAAACTCCACGACGGTCCGTCTAAATCCACCAGCGTCTGTTCCCACATTGGGCGGCTTGGTGGTCTGCAAGCACATCATATGCAGAATCATATACTTGGCAGCAAGTATAAAATGCACACCGTTTTTAATGTCCTAATGTCCGACAAAGAAACCGTGCCCCGCGTATCCGGTAAGGGGCCTAATAATCTCCGGAGACCCTACCCCCACGGCGAAGGCGACAGGCTGTGGAGAGTCGAGTGCTACTGCCACCCAGGTTAGTCCGGCGGAGACACCGGGTCGGGCTAGTCTGAATGCTACCGGCGCCAAACCCAAAACAAAAGCGTCTGCGGATTTAGGGAAGCCTGGATCCTGCAGTCGCAAAACAATAACAGCATCTGGCTCCAAAGCTGGATGCAGCAAAATAAGCAGCGAGGCACCTCTGGACGTCACCCCAAGTACCTCAAAGGCAGCTCAGGTCCGTATTGGCAAAAATGCCGATAAAACCCCCTGTTTCGGGGACTACTAAGGCCACCAAAACCAAGGTAGCGACCCCAGTGCCGGTTATGCACGAGGGAACTGCGAACAAGATTTCGGGTTCTCAAACGGCATCTCCCAATGCCAACACGGCGAATAGTAAGACCCCCAGGCACGTAACACCAGCAAGAAGGGCCTTCCTACAACGGCGCTCCGCCGCCAAAATTCTAGCGCGCTTAGCTGGCAAGCCAGTTGAGTCGCTAAGTAAAGAGGACAAGTCCTCTCTAGAATGGGCTAAGGGAAAATTGGCCGTTCTGGAGAAGAGTCCCCCCCTCACGTCTAAGGACGCGCCTAAACGGCAACGTTCTGAGGAGGAGACTAATCTTCAGGGCCAGCAGCCGGGACAAAACGTCCGAAACCGTTGCCCCCCAAGCCGCATGACAGGACCTCGGTGAAGTGGTTGAGAACCAATTCACGCGTGCTGTCATCGACAGGGTGACATAGATGGCGCTATGTCTCCATCCAGATGGACATAGTGCGAAAAAAGCTGATGGGGGTGTTCTGGGAAGTTCTTAAACAGAACCCTGGTCCCCCCCACAGTGTGAGGACGGCGGTTGGTTTCACAACAGAGTGAAGCTAATGTCCTGTTCCAACGAGCGCTCAGCTTTGCTCCTGAAAGCAGGCTGTGTCGCTGATAAAGGATCCGTGGGAAGGTGGCTAAGCTGGAAGTGGTCTCTGTGGACGAGATCCCACGAAGGCCTAGATCCACCGCCATAATTCCTGCGGAACCACATAAAAAGGCAGCGATACTGGAGCTTCTACAGGTTGGCAATCCGGATCTTCCAACTCAAGATTGGAAGGTCGTCAGGGTTTCTCAACCTGTAGGAAGCTCCAGAAGGATTGTTGTGATCCTGAACCAGGAGTCTTTGGCGCCGCTTCGCGAGAAACAAGGGAAGGTCTACTACGGCTTCGAGTCGATCTTCCTCCGTGTCTACCGAGGCGATGACAAGGGACTATTGGAACAGGATGATCCCGATCCTGACCAATCCGCTGCGGATATGTCTTGCGACGAGACTGACCTTTCGCTGAGTCAATCAACTTCTAAGTTGGTTAAGGAGGGGGAAGAGTCAGTTGACGAGGACGATCTCCTTGCCTCTGACAAGGAGGACGCCAACGTCACAGTGTTGCGTAAGGACAAAAAAGGAGATGGTGAGAGTAACCCAAATTAATCTCCACCACTCCAAAGCAGCCTCGGCTGCACTGC